ACTTTCTATAGTCCAGGTGTACTTTCTATAGTCCAGGTGTACTTTCTATAGTCCAGGTGTACTTTCTATAGTCCAGGTGTACTTTCTATAGTCCAGGTGAACTTTCTATAGTCCAGGTGTACTTTCTATAGTCCAGGTGTACGTTCTATAGTCCAGGTGTACTTTCTATAGTCCAGGTGTACGTTCTATAGTCCAGGTGTACTTTCTATAGTTCAGGTGTACTTTCTATAGTCCAGGTGTTCTTTCTATAGTCCAGGTGAACTTTCTATAGTCCAGGTGTACTTTCTATAGTCCAGGTGTACTTTCTATAGTCAGGGTGTACTTTCTATAGTCCAGGTGTACTTTCTATAGTCAGGGTGTACTTTCTATAGTCAGGGTGTACTTTCTATAGTCCTCATGGACAGAAACTGAAGTTGGTTCCACAAGAGAGGAGCCTGAGAACTGAAAGATCTTCCTCCCATTCTGCTGCTGGAAACTCTAGGAACCACAATTAAACCTGCAGTCTGAGAATGACGTGTTCTGTTAGGAAAATATGGAACAATAAGATCTGTAATATAAGATGGAGCTAGGTTGTTGAGAGCTTTGTAGGTTAGAAGTAAGATTTTGAATTCTATTCTGGATTTGACAGGATTTTTTTTTTCAAGCTGAACAGCCTATAGTAATTTATGGTCTCGTTTTTATAGGTCAAGTAATTGTTTATGAACTAAGGTTTATTGTTCCAACTAGTCAGAGATCCAATTACCCAAGCTCTGAGCATCTCATTGTTCTATCCATCATCTGAGGATGAGAAGCGTGCTGCAGACCTACCAAGACTATCGACCTAAACTGATGGTGAGGCGAGCGTTAATCTGAGCAGCAGCTAAGAATGCTAGGCTAGCTGAGGTATAATACTTTGCTTTTGTACTGGGTCCTCAGTCCTCGCTGATGGTGCTGAACTTTGAGCTGTGGCAAAGACACTGCTTGTGTCTTTCAGGTGACAACCTCAACAGGCACCAAGTGCTTCTCGTGCCGCTCAGCAGCAGAACGAGACAAATGGATGGAGAACCTGCGGCGAGCCGTCCACCCCAACAAGGATAACAGCCGGCGGCTGGAGAACATGCTGACCGTGTGGGTGATCGAAGCCAAAGACCTGCCCGCCAAGAAACGGTAAGATTCCTCGGTCCTGCAGGAGGACATACGGCAACGCAGCCGGTACTACAGCCAGATGTTCTGTCCTGCAGGTACTTCTGTGAGCTGTGTCTGGATGACAGTCTGTATGCTCGGACGTCCTGCAAGCTGAAGACGGACAACATCTTCTGGGGTGAGCGGTTTGACTTCAGCAGCCTGCCGTCCATTGCCTCCATCACGCTGCACCTCTACAAAGACACAGACAGGAAGAGGAAGAAGGACAAGAGTAGCTACGTTGGCCTGATCAACATCCCCGTCGCCGCGGTGACAGGCCGACAGCTGGTGGAGAAGTGGTACACACTGAGCACGCCCAGTACAATCCGAGGTACATGGACACCGACTGGTCTGAGACCTGGCTTCAGGTTGCTGGATCAGCATTCACATTCATCGGGCTGCAGAGTCCAGATGTTTTGTCAGAGGCTGCAGTGAAGGTCGGACACAGAAGAGTCCTAACCGGTTTTGTTTTGCTCGTTTCAGGGAAGTCATCTGTTCCAACAATTCGGGTCAAAGCACGGTACCAGAGTATCGTCATCCTGCCCATGGAGCAGTACAAAGAGTTCGCCGAATACATTAGCGCCAACTACCTGCTGCTCTGCTCCACCCTGGAGGCCTCCATCAGCCTGAGAGCCAAGGAGGAGCTGGCTGCTGCTCTCGTTCACATCCTTCACAGCACTGGCAAGGCCAAGGTAGCTCCGCCCACTTTGATAAACCCCGCCCATTACAAATCTGACTATCCAACCATCTGAGTGTTTGTCTTTTTTTTCCTCTAGGACTTCCTGACGGATCTGATGATGTCAGAGGTGGATCGTTGCCGTGACAACGACCAGCTGATCTTCAGAGAGAACACACTGGCGACGAAAAGTATCGAGGAATACCTGAAGCTGATTGGACAGAAGTACCTGCAGGACGCGCTCGGTATACACACACACAATTCAATTTCAATTAAATTCAGTTCAGTTTATTTCTAAAGCTCCAAGTCACAACAGAATCGTCTCAGGGCTGAACAGAAACATTCATCAATAAAATAATAATTTAACAGAAACATTCATCAATAAAATAACGATGGTTTGAGAGAGGAGTAAAGGAGGCCATCTTTGTGAAAAGAAATCGTCCATCATTAAACAGGGCGGAGCCTCCAGGTTCAACTGTCCCCCTCTTACAATGCTGTGATTGCTAGTATCACTCAGCCCTCTGTGAACAGTAAACAGCCATCAGGTGCTAATGATCCATTGTTAGACTGATGGTCCTTCTTGAGCATGTGATCAGCTGGTTCTGGTTGTCAGCAGCAAACTGGTTGATCCACTCTGAGAAGGTGCTATTTAAGAGACTGAGCTGAAAACAGCACCTCAGACTGAGGAAGTCCTCAGGATGAGAGACGAAACGTTTCTACATTTTTTTGTTGTTTTGCTTCGTTTTTTTTTTGTTGTTTTTTTTTGAATGTCCAGAGGACCAGATTTAACTTTTTTAGATTTTTCTACCTGGATTATTGAGCATGCATCAGGATACTTATCTGTAAACATCACCTTGAATGGAGGCCAGATCTTAACTGTAGTCTGCTGCTATCGCCCCCCGCAGCATCACCTGAGGCTCTGTCTGTACTGAAGGAATTTCTTGGTAATTTAAAATTCAAAGAGATCCTTTTGGCTGGAGACCTCAACATTGATTGGTCTAAGTCGATCCCCCTCTGTGATAAATTCAAGGAATGTTGCCTGTCTCTCAATCTTACCCAACTGATCGACTCTCCCACTAGATTAAACAAAAACCATCTTGAAAATTCCTCCATCTTAGACCTGTTTCTAACTAATATGCCTCACAAATTCCCTGGTACAGGTGTATTCGCCGATATTTTGAGTGATCACTGTGTGACAGCTGCTTTGAGAGATATTAAACTTCCACCTTCTAAGCCCAGATTAATTAAAAAAAGGGATCTGAAACGTTTTTGTGAACAGTCATTCCTCTGGGATCTGTCTCACTTTGACTGGCATCGTATTCTGTTAACTGATGACGTGAACTCTGCTTGGAACTATTTCCATAATAATTTCATTTATGTTGTGAACAAACATGCTCCTTTTCATCAGTTCAGAATAAAGGGACGAGACAGCCCCTGGTTTACTCCAGAGCTAGCTGACCTCCTGCACAGAAGAGATCATCTTTGGGCCACAGCGAGAAAATCTGACTCAGACACTGATTGGTTGAGTTGAGAATGCACAACTGCTGTCAAAGCAGCAAAATGCAACTATTTCTTATCTCAGACCTCCAAAAATCTAAATGACCCCAACAGATTCTGGAAAACCATCAAATCTCTCTCAGGCACCCCCCAGTCATCTGACCTCCCATCACAACTTCTCGTTAACTCTGTTCCTGTGTCAAATCAGCACGAGATCCTGAACTGTCTCAACAAACATTTTGTTGCTTCTGGTTCTTTATTTGACACAGTTACTAATGGAAGATCAGCCACTTCACTTAATAACCAAACTTCTACAAATCAAATCCCTCCTACAAGTCAATCCTCAGTTAATCACACCTTCTCTTTTTCTCCATTCTCAGTCAGTGAGGTCAATAAACTGTTAAAAGATCTTGATCCTAAAAAATCTGCAGGTCCAGATGAACTTGCACCTTATTTCTTAAGGCTGGCTGCTCATATCATCACAGTCCCTGTGACCCACATCTTCAATCTCTCCATAAGACAAAACTCCATCCAGACACTTGAAAACAGCCTTTGTTCTTCTTTGCTGAAGGGAGGTGACCCCACCTCACTGAACAACTATGGACCAATCTCTAAACTCTGCATTTTAGCCAAGGTTCTAGAAAAACTGATAAACTCTCAAATCAAAAATGACCTGGACTCATTTAACATCTTACCTCCACATCAGTCTGGTTTCAGGAAACAACACAGCACAACCACTGCTTCACTGAAGGTTCTTAATGACGTTGTTGAAGCACTGGATGCTAAAGATTATTGTGCTGCTCTTTTCTTAGACCTGTCTAAAGATTCTGACTCTGTGGATCAGAACATCTTGTGTCATAAACTCTCAGAAACTGGTTTCTCAGATCACACCATTGGAGGCAATGTGTTCAACATAATGGTACTTCCTCCAGTTATTTAACAGTCAACAATGGTGTACCACAAGGCTCAGTCTTAGGACCCACCCTCTTTACAATCTACATACATAATGTAGGTAAAAACATCCCTAATGCATCCATACATTTCTATGCTGACGACACAGTTGTTTATTGTCGAGCTAAAACAGTTGCTAAGGCTTTCCAGCTTTTGAATTCTGCATTTAACTCCATCCAGACTGATTTGTTTCACCTCAAACTTGTCCTAAATGCCGACAAAACCAAAGGGATGTTTTTTTCAAACAGGAAGTCGGTCCCAGCAGTTCTTCCTCTGATTTTATCCTCAAATGGTGTCCCCATTGAGTTTGTTGATTCCTATAAATATTTGGGTATCTTGGTCGACTCACATCTCTCTTTTAAGCTCCATGTGGAAAACTTGGTAAAGAAACTGAAAGTTAAACTGGGTTTCTTTTTCAGAAACAGATCCTGTCTAACTCTGAATGTTAGGAAACACCTTGTATCTGTGACTTTCCTTCCCTCCATTGATTACGGTGACATTATTTACATGAACGCTCCTACAAGAACCCTGCAGATGTTGGATGCTGCAGATGTTGGATGCTGCAGATGTTGGATGCTGCAGATGTTGGATGCTGCAGATGTTGGATGCTGCAGATGTTGGATGCTGCAGATGTTGGATGCTGTCTATCATGGTGCACTAAGATTCATAACTGGCTGTAACTACCGTACCCACCACTGCACCCAGTATTCACTGGTTAACTGGTCACCATTAACTCCACACAGACTCTCTCACTGGTACATTTTCATCTTTAAATCACTTCCTGGTCTGCTGCCTTCATACATCTCCTCCTACATGTCTCTGTGTGAGTGCAGCTACAGCGTGCGCTCTCAGGACATCATTACCTGCAGTGTTCCCTCAATGAGGACTGAACTAGACAAAAGGACCTTCTCCTACTCCGCTCCTGTTTCCTGGAATATCTTGTAAAAAGATCTGAAGCTCTCGACCTTTGACCTCTCTAAGTGTCTTTAAGAATCTGTTGGACTCCTGGCAGGGTCCAATGCAGACATGTTCCTGTTTTTATTTTCTACATTCACCTTAGAATCTAGCTGTTTTTTGTTACCTTTTCCTTTTAGCCATCCTATTTGTAAAAAAAAAACCCTGCAGTATGACTTTTTATAACTGTTTATTGTTGTTGCTGTTGTCCATTGTTGTCATCTTTCTTTGTTGAAATCAGGTCTCTCTTGTAAATGAGTCCTCGAGGCTCAATGGGATTTACCTGTAGAAATAAAGGTTGATTGAAAAACTCCCTCATGAGGAAGAAACCTTCAGCAGAACCAGGATCAGGACTAGAGGACCATCTGCTTCGACCGGCTGGGTTTGGTAGGAATAGATAAACAATGGCAGGTCAAGAATCACATGTTAAGATAGAAATAGTATCAAATGAAAACTATTTAATTTTAACAATTCATTTAAAGAAATGTGGTCAGTTTGTCCTCTAGTAGTCTAAGCTTAAGGCAGCATAACAAGCCGACCCTAACTATAGGATTTATCAAAAAGGAAAGTCTTAATCCCAGTCTTCAAACTGGACAATGTGTCAGTCTCACGGACAGAAACTGGAAGTTGGTTCCACAAGAGAGGAGCCTGAGAACTGAAAGATCTTCCTCCCATTCTGCTGCTGGAAACTCTAGGAACCACAAGTAAACCTGCAGTCTGAGAGCGAAGCGCTCTGTTAGGAAAATATGGAACAATAAGATCTGTAATATAAGATGGAGCTAGGTTGTTGAGAGCTTTGTAGGTTAGAAGTAAGATTTTGAATTAAGTTCTGGATTTGACAGGGAGCACCATCAACGCTGTTGTTTACATGTTTACTATTTTTCTGCATGTTTTCTGTATACTTTGTGTCATTTTAGCTGTTCTTCAATCAAAACGTTTAGCTCATTTCAGAAATGACTTTTTGTGTTTTGCTTCTTTTCTATTTTTTAAAGTATTGGACTTAAGTTAAACAATTTTCTCCACAGAAATGTATCGAGCACTTTTAAATCTCTTCACAAACGTTCTTTATGAAATTTCCTTCAACAAGACTGCTTCATTTGTGTCTTCTTTACCTATTTTCATCTTTAACTAGTCTTTTGCTACTTTGAGTCATTGTTTTGATGCTCATAGCTTTAGTTTATCATCTAGCAACTTTCAATTTTTAGCAAGCCCGTTGCTGCGTTTAGTATTTAGCCAGGTTTGTGCTACTTTTAGCTATTAACTAGCCTTCTGTTTCATTTAGCCAACATTTTGGTACTTGTAGCCTTTAGCTAACCTCTTTTAGGTCATAGCAAGCCTGTAGCTGTTTACTTTTTTTCATTCAACCTTTATTTATCCAGGTAGTGTCATTGAGCCACGAGAACTCATTTTCAAGAGAGACCTGTTTAGGGAGCAGATGGGGGTTAAGGGCCTTGCTCATGGGCCCAGAGTGGGGTGAATGAGGGTGGGGGCAGGCGTGGGTGCTTCACCTACCCCACCCACATTTTTGTTGTTGTCGGTACCGGGGCCTGAACCGGCGATCTTCCGATCACAGGCCCACCTTCTCTAACCTCTGCGCCACCACTCCCCCCCCCCATTTACAAGAGAGACCTGATTTCAACAAAGAATGATGACAACAATGGACAGGTTACAGGTTTTACATAGATTTTTGCTACATTTAGCTTTTAGCTACCACTTTGTTACTTTTCAATTCAGTTTATTTCTATAGCGCCAAATCACATCAAAGTTGTCTCAGGGCACTTTACAGGAACATTCACATACATAAAAGCCATAAAAGCCCACTTTTAGCTTTTGACTAACCTTTTTTAACTTGAAGCTTTTATGCACCATTCTGCTACGTTAAGCTTTTAGCCAGCTTTTGCTATTTTAGCCAGCATTTTGATCATTTTAGCTTTTACCTTTTTTATGCTTTTAGCTAGAGCTATGCTACTTTTAGCTTTAAGTTATTGTTTTGTAACATTTAACTTTTAGCTTGCTTTTGACTATGTTTAGGTTTTTATAATTCTAAGCTACATTTAGCTAGTGTTTTGATATTTTGGCTTTGATCTAGCCTCTTGTGAAGTTTAGCTTTTAGCAGGCCTTTTGCTACTTTAGAATTCTAACTATCCTTTTGATACGTTTAGCTAGCAGTTGGTTTTTCATCCATCCATCCATCCATCCATCCATCTTTTACCCGAGTGGTCAGATCACATGTTCTCGAGGCGAATTCAGATAAGGTGGTCTGCAAGGCCAGCCAAGGGAGCCAAATTCAGATGAAAACGATTGTTTTGGGGACAGGCAGAACGTGACTGAGTAAAATCCCCGAGATCTGATCCATTCTGCCCAAAGCATTTGAGTCTGGGTACTCGAGGCACGAACCAAGCCATCATAAAGGCAAGCAGCGTGATCGGGTCCAGATTTGCTGCCGACGACTTCCTTGATTGTAGATAAAACCAGCAACCAGCCGAATCAAAAAAGCAGGAACCAGTTTATCATAAGTCCAATTAAATATGTGTCTTTAAAATCCACAGATGGCAGCAGAGATAGACACATCATCAAGTCTTCCAGTCGATGAGATGTCCAGCTGCGTGCCAGCAGGACAAATCGGCTCGCCTAAAGTCTGTCTTCTCTTCGAAGAAATGTTGTAGATTGAGATGAGGGACCAACTGATCAGAACAAGTCCATAATTATGGTTCGGAAGATTTGTAGAAAAGAGGCTCTAAGCAGTTTCACAGACGGACAGAATTGCAAAGCGAAACGGAGAGGGAGAGGAGGGAATACGTCCGACCTCAGCAAGTGGTGAAGTGATTTTAGCTAATCAGATGATGCTTTTTTTCATTCATTCAACCTTTGTTTCCACAGCTTGGTCCCTTTGAGCCTTGGGAACTCATTTACAGAGAGACATGAATTTTTAACAAAGAGTGATGACAACAGTGGACAACAATGACAACAATAGACAATCACAGATGATGCATCCATTTTTTTTAACAGTTGAAAACAAAATGATAATTAAAAGGAAACGTTGCGAAAAAACATCTAGATTACGAGGCGGTGTAGAAAACTAAAATCAGGAACATGTCTGCATTGGTTCTTTTTTCTTTTAGCTAGAGCTATGCTTCTTTTAGCTTTTAGTTATTGTTTTGCAACTTTAACCTTGCATTTTGCCACGTTTTTCTTTTTAGCTCTTTCTTAGCTACATTTAGCTAGTCTTTGCTTCTTTTAGCTGTACCAACTCAATTTCAGCTTCTTCAGCAGATTTCAGCTCCCTTTGTACAGAAATACAATTTATCTGCTTAATTAAAGTATTTTAAATGTTCAGGTCAATTCATTAGTGTGTGTGTGTGTGTGTGTGTGTGTGGGTGTGTGTGCGTGCACGTGCGTGCGTGCACATGCATCTGTGCGTGCATGCATGTGTGCACTTTCAGGTGAGTTCATCAAAGCTCTGTACGAGTCTGATGAGAACTGTGAGGTGGACCCGTCTCGCTGCGCGCCCTCTGACCTCGCCGAGCATCAGGCCAACCTGAGGATGTGCTGCGAGTTGGCTTTCTGCAAGATCTTGGACTCCTACAGGTGAGCAGCCACACACGCAGGTAGGTGCAGAGTCACACAGGTGTCCTGTGTTTATGTCAGTGTGTGGTATGCTCCGCCTACCCAGGGTGTTCCCACGGGAGCTTAAGGAGGTGTTTGCATCTTGGCGTCAGGAGTGCAGTAACCGGGGGCGACCAGACATCAGCGAGCGGCTCATCAGTGCTTCTCTGTTCCTGCGCTTCCTGTGCCCAGCTGTGATGTCACCGTCACTGTTTGACTTAATGCAGGAATACCCCGACGAGCGCACGGCCAGAACGCTGACCCTGATCGCCAAAGTCATCCAGAATCTGGCTAACTTCAGCAAGTACGTGGAGGCCTTTATTGTGAAGGGGCTGAAGGCTTTTACTTTATGTACATTGTTAGGTGAACCTGGTACCTGTCTGTGTGACCAGTTGTATCTGTTGCTTCAGGTTCGGCACTAAAGAGGAGTACATGCTGTTTATGAACGACTTTGTGGAGCGGCAGTGGAGCAGCATGCAGCGTTTCCTGCAGGAGATCTCCAACCCTGACGGACTGAACCACACCGCCGGCTTCGATGGGTACATCGACCTTGGGAGAGAGCTGAGCAGTCTGCACACTCTGCTGACTGAGCTCGACCAGGTAACACACTTGACCCAACTGGTATCACACCTGGCCCAACAGGTAACACACCTGACCAACAGGTAACACACCTGACCAACAGGTATCACACCTGACCAACAGGTATCACACCTGACCAACAGGTAACACACCTGACAACAGGTAACACACCTGACCAATAGGTATCACACCTGACCAACAGGTATCACACCTGACCAACAGGTAACACACCTGGCCCAACCGGTAACACACCTGACCAATAGGTATCACACCTGGCCCAACAGGTATCACACCTGACCAACAGGTAACACACCTGACAACAGGTAACACACGTGACCAACAGGTATCACACCTGACCAACAGGTATCACACCTGGCCCAACAGGTAACACACCTGACCCAACAGGTATCACAACTGACCAACAGGTAACACAACTGACCAACAGGTAACACACCTGACCAACAGGTATCACACCTGACCGACAGGTAACACACCTGACCGACAGGTATCACACCTGACCAACTGGTATCACACCTGACCAACTGGTATCACACCTGACCAACAGGTAACACACTTGACCCAACAGGTATCACACCTGACCAACAGGTAACACACCTGACCAACTGGTATCATAACTGACCAACAGGTATCACACCTGACCAACAGGTAACACACCTGACCAACAGGTATCACACCTGGCCCAACAGGTAACACACCTGACCAACAGGTATCACAACTGACCACAATCACACCTGACCGACAGGTAACACACCTGACCGACAGGTATCACACCTGACCAACTGGTATCACACCTGACCAACTGGTATCACACCTGACCAACAGGTAACACACTTGACCCAACAGGTATCACACCTGACCAACAGGTATCACACCTGACCCAACAGCTCAACAGAAGTTATCTCAGAGAACTGTACAGAAACATTCACAGACATTATAAGACAATTACGGTAGTAAAAGTTATTTATCTAAGGAAGCAGCAGATTGTGTTAAACCATCTTACTCTCATGTACATCCTTACAACTCTGTCTCCCTTTGACTGTCTCTCTCTATCTGTCTCTCTACTTTTCTGTCTCTCTACCTGTCTGTCTCTGTTTGTCTGTGTCCAGTCCTGCCTGTCAAAGCTTGGTCCTCTTCCTCGGATCCTCAGAGATGTGTCCACGGCTCTTGCACATCCAGGGGGCATGGTCGGTGCTGGGGGTGTCTCAGTTTCGTCCCCAGAACCTCAGCGTGTGGTGTCTCCGCCCCCTCTGTCTCCGCCCCCTCTGTCTCCGCCCCTTTCTCCTCCTATGGCTGCCTGTAATCCCTCTGTTGGCCTGCAGGGCGGCGTGGGACTGGACGGAGGGTTAGCATGAATTCTTAAAAATAGGCTTGTTTCTTTGTTAGTCACAGCTGGTGGGGGTGGGGCTTAAGCAGGTGTTACCTGAACATGTGGATGTACCTAGGCTGTCAACAGGACATGAAACTTTAACTATAAAATGAGCTGTGGCTCATAATTTAGGGGAGTTTACTTTTAATGAGCAAACAACTGCTTTTCAGTTTGTGTTGAAGATTTTTTTAAACAAAACAGTATTTTTAAATCACCACTATTATTTAGAATAAAAATTATATAAAATTAAGTTTGAATATATGAAAACTTTAGAGAATATGAATTAAACAACCTTCCTCTGACTGTACCCATTAGCAACACTCACTTCCTGTTTGTGTGCAGTTGTGTAGACTTCACCAGACTTCCGTCTCCGACCCCAGAGAACAAGGATCTGTTCTTTGTCACTAAAGGATCCAGCCTGCAGCCTGCATCAGGTGACCTTTGACCTTTGACCAATCAGCTTCCTTTGGCCTGATGGTGACCTCTGACCCCTCTAATGCTGTTATTTCATGCAGGTATGAGGGGGTCCCCGGCACCGAGCTCGTCATACTCGGAGCCCAATGAGCACGAAGCGGCGTTTGAAATGACCAACGGGGGTCGGAAGGAGGGGCCAGAGCTGACCAATGAGAGCCGCAGTCTCTCTCTGGTGGATCTGCAGGACTCCTCCCCCAGTGACGGCCTCGACGATGGTCAGTGGCAGCGCAGGACGGGGCTCCTCCCCCTCTCCTTTCAAAACCCCGTCTATCACATGACCACCACGTCGCCCCGGCAACCGCAGCAGCAGACAGATGCTACGCCTTCCGACGGCTCAGTGGGTTCACAAGGAAACACAGAGGACAGGGGCGCCGTGGCGGGCAAGCCGGCATTTCTTACCCAGATGTCTGTGGGTATGGGAGGGGGGGAGAGGATGTCGGCCATGTCGAGCAGCAGCAGCGGTGAAGAATATTCTCGACGAGCACTGTCTCTCACTGATACGCTCTCAGGTAGGACTTCGCTCCACCATCAAGTTTCAGATAATCAATGAGCTCAATCAGCTGATCATTCTGTCACCCCTCCCCTACAGGAAGCTCCGCCCCCCTGCGCCAGAACTCCTCTGGTCCTCAGAGACGTATCGATCAGCCTCCTCCACCCTCCTCAGCTCCTCCGTGCCCACCTCGAGGTCGCACCCCTCCTAGCATGCTCAGTGGTGGAGGCCCCGCCTACCCACCACGCCCCGCCTCCGGAAGCATAATGTCATCAAGCCCAGATTGGCCGAGCGGCGGACCGTCACGACTCAGGCAGATGTCATCATCGTCTAAAGGAGAAAGTCCTGAGAAGCAGCGGCCTGCTGCCAAGGTATCCTGCATTTTACCATGGTAACCTTAGACTCACCTGAGCAGGTGTGTTGCATGTCTGTTACTATGGTTACCTCAGCTGATCAGACTATAACATAAATGTTTAGACTTTTAAACCATTAAATGTCTACATGTTAAAAAGTAATTAATCTGTAAGTTTGAGAGTGAAAAGTTGCTGCAGGCTTCCTCAGGTGTGCCTCACTCAAATGTTACCTGTCCAGTTGTGTTTGTGTGTTTTAGGCCCCGTCTCCCTGCGCGTTGGATCGAACTGCAGCCTGGCTGCTCAACATGAATTCTGCATCCTCTTACGGTGAAACGGAGGATGATCGTCATGACGATGCCTTGGTGGAAAAGGTGAGCGAGACCCTGTTGATCGGTCTGAGTCGACTCTGCAGGTTCTATTTCGATTTCAATCCAGTTTATTTCTTCAGCTCCAAGTCACAACAGAAGTCGTCTCAGGGATTGAATATAAACAAAAACATTCATGTATAAAATAATAATTGAACAGAAACATTCATGTATAAAATAATAATTGA